TTTATCAACCTGTTGGTTTGTAATGACAACTATTTATTGATACTTTTTTGTGGTGACTGGAACAATGGCAGCCTTAAACACCAATTCAAGTATTTAATGCAAATTATAATATCCCTGTCATTCTCAGCACCAGAAGAGTTTACTGAAGGTTCCACTTCCCTGTTGATGAAAATGAGAATGGTTTTACAATTTTCTTTCTCTGGAAAAATCTGATCACCTCACCAAAAAGTGCTGTTGCTCTGAGAATTTGCCTCTATAAGGTTTTCTGATTTACAGTAGGTTTTCAAGTTTGCTTGTCCTTGTGATTTTAGCGATTACCTTCAGGCTCTTAAGAAAAAGTTCCTGTAGTGTCAGTGAACATGAGAGTGTCAAAGAAACTATTTGTCGGTAAAAGAGGAAACATTTCACTTGAGCATTAATGTTGTAAGAATCTGCTTGTTTTTTCCACAGCGTTGCTGAGGTAACCTCTGAAAATAATTGATAGTAGTATCCACTACTAGTGGCATCCACTGTCGCAACACCATTTTAGAGTCTTTCCAGTCAAGGTTTATAACTGCTTAATGGATTTGCTTCCAAAATTATTCAGGAAGGAAGAGGGATAAACATAAACTTTCTCAATGTGATTTTATTTCCATGTTGAAAACATCCATTCAGAAACATGAAAGTAAGCCCTGATCATGTGGCACAACAGTTGTGAAGCTCAGTTGAGCTTCTTACAGAGAAATTTTAAGGTCAAGGATTTCATCTGCAAAAAAGTTCTGTTCTTGAAGCCCCACTTTATTGCACTAAGCATTGCACTTCTTTCATTGTCCCAGCTAGTTACGTTAATTCTGTTCCTGCTCTGCTTCCCCAGCACTGCTTGTAATCTACCACCTGCAGAGGCTGTTAGGAAGAGCCTGTTTACTTGCTCATGCTGTGACTCACTACTCTTCAAAGGAAAAAAAAAAAGTCTTCTGTACCAGTAGTCTATCACTGGAGCCAAGATGAGAAGGAAAAACCTCCTTCTGAAATCTTTAGGAATGACACTAGTAATAGAAAGACCCATGTTCCCCCAAAGAGATGAAGTTGTAATGCTTTGAGGAAGGAGGATTTAAATAAAAGGAAAACTAACAAGCAGGCATGAAGATGGGTTAAAAGAAATAGACAACACAGAGAATTATTACCCTCTAATGTAACATTCACAATAAAATTTTTCTTTCTTTTCTTCTAAAGCATAATGTGCTTTTGCAGACCACTACAGAGGTAGTAAAAATACATTCCTACAGAAACAATTATTACAAGCAAAGAAAACAAGAGGAACCAGAGACCTTTCAGAAATGAAACTGCCCAGAATGAATTCCAGCACAAACTAGATCTCATGAAGAATAGAAAGCAGTAGTTATATATTACACTTGTTTTTTTAAACAAATATCTACTATCCAGCAGCCATTTTAAAATAAAAAAGGTCAGAGCTGGGAATAAAAATTCAAAAAGTGACATAAGTCAAGTGTGTTCCTCATTATAAATCTCAGTGAAAGGGGAAGCTGAAAATACATGATGTCGTGGTAAGGAGGCAACCCATGCACCTCTCCCACACTCAGTGTTTTACAGTAAGAATGACAAGCAGTAGAAATTCAATACTGCATTTTATGATATAACTGAAAGGAAGAGCAAACACAAGAGGAAGGAAAGATAGTTTATAGTAACATTATTCTAAGGGAGCAGGACAAAATTCTGCCTTTTGATTTTGATTTTCTGTCAACATCAGACTTAAAATGCAGACTTGTACTGTTCTGTCTTCATTCCGGCTTTTGATTCAGGTTTCATTGAGACAGAATTTGGCCCACCCAAGCAAAGAACAGAAGTGAAAATGAGGTTCCCTATGTTTGTAAATTGGTATTACAAATTCTTCCTGCTGCCTGAATGAAGCTATTCTCCATGCTGCATGGAAGTCACTCTGCAGTCTTGACCCAGGCAAAACTTCTGTTGGTTTTAATTGTAATTTCCTGGCTGTGGGTTGCAGTTCTTAAGAGTTTTTTAATGTGTATTCTTTTCCTTAGCAGGATGTGAAACACAGCTGGATAAAAAAAAATAAGCAGTTTTGAAAGTATCATTTGTTTTCATGCTTGAAAGGGCAGCTTCAGCTGTAGTATTATTATGCCTGTATATGCAAGTATAATCAACGTTTCTTCTGGTGACTTAATATTATACTGCCTTTTTAAATGTTTTTTAAAACGGTTGATGAAATCATCTTAATTAGATTATTTGCTTTAACATCTGCTGCTGTTGTCATTTAATTTTCAGTGTTTTCATTTGGTGGAAAGATTTTTCTTTTCCATCCTGCAAAACAACAAAATATCTGTATGCACATATGTAACCATAGAGTGTATACATGTATTTTTAGTACACTCTGTTCCTTCAGCTGTGCTTGGGTAACCTGGTAAGCTTCATTGCCTTGTGTTTGCATGATCATGATGAACAGCATGGGGGGACTTTTGTAATGTGATAAAAGAGCTGTGAAATCTCACATTTGCTTGCAGAAATAGGAAAAATGTGTGTCTTGCCATGACCAAAGAGTTTTTTGTAGGCTACAAAAGTTCTTTAAAATAAACACTAAGAAGGAATGGGACCACAGTCTCCTGTTAGTGTAGGGAGAATTAAGGTAAGCTTTCAGTAGATCAATATTTAGAGGTTTAGAACTGCTTCCTGTTATTCTCCTGGCTTATTTTCAACCCTTTTCAGACTCAGACAGCTGCTGAGATGCTACCTTTGTGTGATACTTTAGATTTTAACGAGGAGCTTCTCACAGTCCAGCTGTATTCATCGGAAACAAGTCTAGGAGCTGAATACCAGAGAAACAGATAAGCTGGAAGACTGTTCTGTAGTCTCAGGAAAAGCTGACCACTTTCTTCTGAGGGTAAACAACAAATCTATGAACAAATCTATTATGTATATGTTCTAATGAGGTTCTGGATCTCACTTTCTGTATAGTAAGAGGTGTTTGCTTCACTCCTCACCCCAGGATTCTGAGTCAATAAATAAATTTAAAATATATCATCTTAATGTATCCTGACTTCTAGAGACTGTATAGAGGCCAAAAAAAAAACCCCACATGCTAGCATATGAATTATTCCATGTCATTTTTTAGAAAACTCTAGATGGCACCTCCTTGTGTAAAGGAATTTTGGGTTTACTTTTTTTACAGTTAGAATCTGCAGAGTATAAACTGACCACACTGGAAACTCTACTCTTCGAGTGGGTTCCTTTCAAATGCTAAACTGGATAATACACTAGATAATACACGGAGCCCCTGTTAGGTGTGAGTGGTAATGCTTTCATGGCCAAAAGTTCCACACTGATTTCACAGGTATCAGAGCCTGACTAGTGATAAACTAGTTACTGTCTTCCATACTTATGGAGCTGCACTGGAAGACTAGTTAAACTTAGACAGAAAGAAAATGAAAAGAAATCAACTGAATTCCAAACAGTTTGAAAGCAAATCATCCAAATCCCTAACAAAATCTTTTAACACATTTGACTGAGATCTGAGTTATTACATAAATGGAAACTGCTGCTTCTCAGACACTGCTGCCATTTTCAAGTGAATGGGGCAGTTCACTTTAGCTGCAGTCTCCTGTTCAAGCCTTGTACCCAACATCATCTTCTGTGCTGCTGGGCACAGGGGCAGCTGTTCCCACCATCTGACCAGTTGTATGTGCAGGAGAGACTCACGGAGAAGATAGCAGCACATCTTCAGAGGCACAAGTGCCTACTGAGAACTTTCTAGGGACAAATATTTGTGGACTTCAGTTGTGCACTTGAGTCATAACTGGAGTGGCAGAGGGACAGAAGTCAAATTTCTATTTTTGATTAAAGATACTTCAGTTCTTTGCAGCTGACACTGATTTAGAGAGAATTAGTCAATATACTTGAGAGCAGAGATGCATTCAGAGGGGCCCAGAGAGACTAAAGGGCCAAAAGTAGTCTTGTGAAGTTCAAGGACAATGCCAAGTACTGCACTAGAGAAGTATGAAATTCTTGCAATCATAAGGACTGGGAACTGCCTGGTGAGGGTAGACCTCTGTGGAAAAGGCCCTGTGAACGGCAACTTCTGTTTGTAACATGTGCTTTAAGTACTGAAGAATAAAATTCAGCCCTTAGGAAAAATGCCTGATCAGGAATATAGTGCAATCATTTCACTTAATAGCAATCATGGCACACTATATAAATAAAAGAGAACTACATGGTCCTTCCTCTACTATTTCAATAAAACAAGATAAGTTTTCCCTTTTGGAATAATTCAGATTTTCTAAAAGGAACATTATGTATTACCTGCTTGTCATTCACACTGTTGCACCAGCAAATCTAGAAAACATTTCAGCTATGAATGTCATCCCTTCCCTCTTCAATTTAACTTCGAGGTAGTTCACTACCTGTTTCCATCTTCTCTGCATATAATAGCTACTTGTAACAATTAGTAAGTAGGTGCTAACCAAAACAAGCTTACAAATCAAAGACACTGGGTTTGTTACCTTCTCCACCGGCATGCATATTAGAGTGATAGATGGGGTTTTGGGTGGAGTTCAGTTTGGTTTGTTATTGCCTATGGATCACACAGCTTCTAAATGAGCACCAATTTTGTGACACTAACTTCCACAGAAGACCTGAGTTTAAAGCGTTTGATGTAGACATTGCCATCTTATCATATGGAAGAGCTTGCTCTGTCACTGTCTTACTTAAGAGCAGTGTGGGGACTTAGTACTTTTCAAGACTTGGAACATTTTCATGTTTCTAAGTATGGATTTAAGAAATTTGTCCCTGCTGAGGTCAGTGCCTCTCTCAGTGCTGCTTAGTGCTGGTAAACTAAATAGAGCAGATCAGTCTATGCAAGCAGAAGTGCCCGGAGATGCTGGACCAAAAGATTGACAAAATTCACATTTTTTTCACCATTTGTGCCTACTTTTTAAAACTCGCTCAGTTTTCCCAGGACCTCAAAACAACACCCTTTCTCTCTCGCGGAGAACAATGAGGGCCTGAATATCCACTCACAGAACTGTCACAGGTTTCAATCTTCTTTACTGACCAGACATCAACATTGCAATCTCCACTGCCACCCAGCATCTGAGAAAACTTTGCCCTAAAAGTCCAACTTGGAATTCAGTAGAGAAGAAAAATGAGAAAACATGTTTTGCTGTGCATAACCCACATCTCAGTGGTAAAAAAAGCAGAGGCAGGTGCCTATCCCGTGGAAATAAGTACAGAGGGAGAGGTGGAAGAGAAGAAGTACAGCAAAGAAACTCTATGCAGCACACAGAGCTCTGCACTTCATTCCCTTTTGTACTACAGGTACCTACATCCTACCCTTCCGCAGAGCTGCAGAGCTGTGCGATGTGGTTTAGGGTGGGGTTGGTTTGTGGTTTGTTTTTTTGCGTTTGATTTTGTTTGTTTGTTTTTGTGAGGGGCAGTTAGCAAACTGGATAGATGCTGAAATCTGATTCTTTTTTGTGAAGGACTAGTTCAAATTATCAAAATATTGAAAATATTGCATTATTACTGCAGCATTTTACAGATGAGAAATAAAGTTGAGGCTTCAAGAAAAGTTTGTTTTCTTCTGTCTTGGTTTGTCAAACTGACCATAAATGCGACTCCAAGACTAACCTGAGGATCTGAGGATTTCAGGTGGTGATTGCTAGATTTCCAACCTTGAAACTACAGTGAATCTTTAATAGAAGAAAAGGTAATCATCACTTCAGTGGAGATGAGGTCTTGTGAGAAAATGAGAAAGGTCTGTGGAGTTTAAGTAGGCTGTGAGATAGTAACAGCAAATTACTTTAACCAAAGTATCTAAGGATATTTTACATTTCAGATTAACATTCTTAATGTGGCAGTTACATGTATGCTTCTTTATCAGTACACAGTGTTTTGAGTTGTACTTTCTGCACAGGGTAAAATTACATCTGTAATGAACAGTTCCATTCCTTTATAAATGTGTGACTGATTTCTGTAACACTTCCCACTCAGTTTATGTGCAGCCTCTGTACAGGTATAGTATAATTTATTTTCACCATCCTTTTTAAGTGAGTGTCATCTCACTGATAGGGGTTCCTTCACGCTCTTTCATATAGACACTTTCTTGGTCCTTTGAGCTGCCACTGAATTGTGTTACATCACATGCATCTTAAACTACCAGTAAGCCACAAGAACAATGAATTAATGAGTCCCTAACATTAGACACAAAGAAAAGGTTATCTGGCTTTACATATTCCTTTCTGTCAAAATCACAATGCTGTGCCGGTAAAGCAAACTGATTCTGATACAACATGGATCTAAATGCACTTTGTTTGCTGGCATTTTTATTTATTATTTTAGACATTTTTCTATCTGGGCTTCTTTTCTAGCCCAAAGACATCTCAAGTTAACTTTAAAGATAAGTAAAATATATAGCACACAAAGCCAATAGCAGTCTTTCAAGCAGTAAAATCTTTGTATCATGGATTATAGTGATTTTCTTAGACAACATTTTGACACATAAGTGTTAGGACCAGTAGTTTGTCATGGTGGCTTTAAGGTGGCGTGCTAATCGTTTGCTTTGTTCTGCTGTTTCCAGTCTTCATCATATCATCTCTCTCTAAATAATCTGAATTTCTTCCTGTTCTGCTTATGTGAGCTGAAAAAGATCTAAATTGTAATTCAAGTTTTAAGGATTAGAAGTCAAAACAGAAAAGCTTGCTTCTAACATGAAGGTAAAGGAAAGGTCAGCAGAGCAGTCAGAAGGATGACTAATATGGTTTGACAATTAAAGTAGTCATAGGGAGAGGAAGACCATTACAACCACAATTTAAAGAGAAGAATTAGTAGGAGGTGGGAGTCAAATATGACTTCGGACAATAAGAGAGTGGCTGTCTGGGAGGCAATGCCTTCTTATTTTTTAGTGACAGCAATGGACTGAGAAGTCACTCAGAAGCCTGAAGAAAGCAGCAAGCACTTATTGGAACAGACAGTCTGACTCTGCTTTTCTGAAATGTCACTCCGTACTCAGTAGGAGAAAAGTAAAAGTAACAGACTGCTGCGACTGTCACAAAGTAAGAAGGCCTTAATCTGAGAATAATAAAAACTACAGATGTAGATAGACTTTGAACTAGACCCAAAAGATGTCATCTGTAAGACTTCTGAAGATGAAATCTACGGATCATGATGCAAAAGGGAACACAAGGAAAGTATTGGTATTACTTGTTGCACAATCTCTAGTGGCTGAAGATAATGAGAAAATTCTTGGGGAAATGTGATGGATAATCTTTTGCCAATGAAACAAGACTGAAACCCCTTGTTTTCCTGAATATTTCAACGTTTATTGATGGTGCTCTCACATTTGACAGCTTGCTACTGGTGGGTGGGTAACAGTCCAGGTTTCATCTGTGTGATATAAACTCTGTACTTTAAAATAACCACAGACTTGTCAGCACTATGTACCATCTACCCCCTGACTCCATGCAGTAGTCTTCTATTTTCAACAAACTGTAGGTCTTCCTTTTTAAAACCTTTTAGGAAAGACAAGAGAAATTCAGTAGCTAGGTAGAGATCTTGACTTGCCCAAGGCAGTAGAAAGGTCAGGTAGTGTTTCTGTTACTTCAGAAATGAGACAGTCATCTGCCTATGGTCTAACCATACTTCCTGTTAGGTGGCTGATAAGAGCCTGCTGTAAAGGCTTTCGTATCTAAAATGGGTTACAAATCTTGCAAGTGGTCAGCAGCCCAACTCATAAAACTCGAATGGTGATGATCAGATCAATCAAATGTTCAGTCACATGTGGGACAAACTGGTATGTGGGATTATCCATGCGTAGGATTATCCCTACATGTGTTTGGTACTATAAAGAAAAAATAGATTTACGGTGGTAGGCTAGTATAGGAAACGTGCATTCTCATAGTGAATCTGATACTGCCTTGCAATATAGGTACTGCAAACACCATGTTACTGATTCTGCTGATGCCTGACTATGCAGGGTCACACACTCAGCTCACGAAGCTTGAAAAGGCCTGTGAATGAGTTTTTATCAACTACTAAGATTATATTTAACTAATTCATTAAACTATCTAATACCTTGAATACCATAGGATTACAGTGTAAATGTTCTACATTAATACGTTTGAATTGTTAATTACAAAATGAAGGAGAAATCAATACAATATGTGATAATGCATCAACAAATGTAATCTAGTACTAGAGGGCTTATTGGCAATTGCAAATGAAATATCACTACTGCAGCATATTTTTAGCTTAATGCTTTACTTCTGTGGTAAAAATGTTATATTTGAAATCTTAAATAAACATACAAAACATTCAAGAGATTCTTAGGAAGCAACTTTTGGCCTGAAAGCACTTTTCCAGTGTCAGTAACACAATCCTAGTACTTAGGGCACAAATTCAGCCAATCAAAACTAGCTGGAACAAACATTGTAACTTCTATTAATTTCTTTCTCTTTTTTTACATCTGAATGTGATTGATACATCTCTGACCACTGGCTGAAGAACCTTGGTTCAAAAGATAAGTCAACTGAGAAAAAAATCTCATGCAAAAAAGAAATCCAAAGAAATTATTTTTTTCTCACAAAAAAACCCTACATTTATAAACTTAGTTCAAAACATTCATCTATAACTGAATGGAGGTTGTGCTAAAAAAGATCTTCACATATCAGTGCAATGTCACCAAGATTCCCCTGACATTTTACATGGAATTTGTCAATCTCTTTCAGCTATACTGGGAAAGTCTTCTCAAAATGAGAAGTTTATCAAGTGGGAGAAGCACAGAAACACCCTTAGTTACTCCCATGAGACATTTGGCTGATTAGTCTGATTAATTCATACTCCAACCAAACATGTGGTTAGAGTCCTTTACTGTGGGTTTTGCAGGTTGGTATTTGCAGTTAGTATCAACAGAAGGCAAAATGGACTGTTTCTCTGGACTGAAAACACTGCTGTTTTGCAGGGAAATATGTTGCTGCTTCTTTCTAACTCATCTCACATATTTAACACATTTATACGTGGGTAATAGAGACAGATGAAAGTCTGTGTAACTGATAGGATTGTGTTATTGTGGCTGCTGACAGATAAAGAGAAAAGCTCAGTGCTGTGAAAGTTTTTCATGCTGGTGCCCACTTTCCACAGCAATAGCTGTAGGACAAGAAATTAGCTGCGTAATAGGATGATGTCTCTGATCCGATCGGGAGAGGTACCTCAAAAAATCTGAGCAATTTTGTAATAATTCAGAACCATTGTCCCCAAGAGATTGTGAGGCAATGCATGTGAAAAGTTCACACTATAACCTAGAGATGTAGAAAAGGAGGATAAACATTTTGTAAATAAGTGGTTTACCAAGAATAGGTGAAATAAAAGTATTCTTTCACTTGCTAGAGGAAACGATGAAAAGAGCAGGGATAAGACAGTAAAGGAGAAAACTGAAAAAGTTTGTGAGAACCAATGATATGGTAAAAGTAAAGCTTCTACAGGGAGCAAGCAAAGTAAATAAATAAGGGACAGAGAGGGAATTCAAGACAGAAGGCATGTCTTTTCAAAGATTTTGCCTTGACTTTTTAAAAAAAGTAGGGAAAATTACAAAATGAGAGATGATGCAGAACCTGCTATGGTAGCAGTGGCTGAAAGGCCTCTTACCACATTCTGACTGTCCTTAGGAAAGAGAAGGAGCTTTCAGACTGCAAATCATGAGTTTGTGACAAATATTTCAGCACATCTGCATCATGCATTTTTGGAATAAAATGTAAACAATGAAATACACTCTTTGCCATGTATTTTAATGTGATTTTCAATTCCTCTGACAGAAATTTCTGAATATCTATAGTCAATAGACAATCAAAACATTCAGCCTTTTGAAACAACTTTTTGAAAACAAAGCATTCAGCCTCTCAAACTAAGTAAGCAACATTAACTACTAATATTCTGCTAATTCGTTGTTTTGAAAAATATCCAGTGGACCATATGCCCATGACAACACTGACTGCTGTGTTAACTCTACACTGAAAACCAAAATAATCTGTAGTTCCATGTTATTGATCATTTTCTGATCAAGGGGTTAATGAGGTCCCTGCCATTGACACATTGTTGTGCCCATCTGCCAGCTCTGTTTATTCACTTGTTTGTGAATTCTGTCATCTAAAGCACAACTGAAAAATTATCAGGTCATAGCAAGTCATTTCCTTAATCAGCATTTGAAAAGCAGCTCTTTGTAAACTTAGTCCAGAGCAGTCACATGGTCTCTGTTTGGGAAATGGGAACTTGCCGTGCTGAAGGTTTTGCAATGTGAGAACGCAGGCTGGTATTCCAGACGAGGCTGAGACTCTGCCTTTCAGTTCCTGTGGTTAGTGTATGCAGCGGGAGGTCTACATTCAGGTCTCAGATCCCACATAGACTTTATAGATTTATTACAAAGCATTTATTTGTTTAGTTGGATTTCTTGCTGAGCAAGTGTTTGGTAATTATGGGATTGTAGGTACTGCATGATGTAAATCATTCACAATTTTAAAAGATCATAGTATACATTTATCAATTTCTGTGGTGGTGATCTGCAGACCCAGCAGCATCACAATACATGTTTCAACAACAAGCTAAGCTTGTGGCAGTAAACACAACTATCATTTGCTAAAACAGAAGATAGTTATTGTGGTCTCTAGATTAAGAGAAAATACTGTCTAGAGGAGGGGAGCCTAAATTCCAGGATCTTTGTCTCCACACACTTCACTTAAGCAAACCTTCAATCATCCTCCCTCAAATAAAAAAACCCATTACATTTGCTGGTAACTACAATAAACAACTTGGCTTAAGTACTTTTTTCCTTCTTTCTTGACAGAGAGTCTCAACATGAAGAATGGCAAATCATCTCAAATCGTACTTAGTCTTTAGAAATTACTTACAACAAGTCAATGCCCCCGACAATAAAAGAAAGCATTTAATGTGGCAGACCATGATGTAAGGAAGCAATAAAAGGGAAACGCAGCTTGAACTGTCATATTGCCGAGTAACTCACATCTCCCTGCTGAAGGCAGCAAAGTTGCAGTTACCGAATGGCTGATCTCTTCTACTGTTTTTTAATCAGATGTTGGCATTATCTGCCACTAATTGCTTTTTCATTTCCACTTGTAATTATTCCATTGCATGTTTGTGGTGAGAAGCTGAAAATGAAGCAGATCACCAAGAAAGAATTAATTGTTAATGAATAATCATCAGTAGGAAGCCAATTTCATTATCTTCAAAGAGGTAGCTAGAGATTAACTACTGACTGGGGTTCTCCTACGTTCAGTGCATGACTGTAAAGTAATCACAAATAATCACACCCTCCAACTTCATCAATTAGTTTCTATTATGTGAATTGATACCCATTTTTGGTTTTGTTGTTTAATGTTAATGGTAGTATTCAAGCTGGGGAGTGCTAATTGGAAGGTGTTGTATTCAGTAGTCTTAGGCCCTAATTATTAGAGCTTCTTTTTCATTAGCATATGATTCTAGAAGGGATATATGGTGGTAGTTGCTAAATTCACCTTGTTATAAATGCATTAACTTTATCAATAAATTTTAGACTGTCACTTAAAATAGAATGATACATACAAAGCTACTTTGCCAGTAATGCACAGCAGTAGGTCAGTTTATAAAACGTGTCATCATTAACTGTTTTTTGAGAAATTCTCCTTAAATCAAGACGTCAAAAACAAAGGTTGCTTGGGATTTAAGCGATCGGTATAATAGAATGAAGGTCTGAAAGAAATCAACTAGACTAAAAAAACTGTTAAATACTAAGCAGAAGTTTAAAAAAAACCATATTTACCTTTTCGTTATTTCATAGATTGATGTCCAGTGATAACTGTTGACTATCAGCCTTCCATTCTTCTTTGCTACTGATTTTAATTCAGTCCTCTGTGATACCAACAGCAACTGCAAAGGATAGCTCTCCTAATGTTTTTAGATGAATTCTGTATTACACTTGTATAATTTTAATGGAAAAAGAATAAAATAAATAATGCCAGCTGTGGGATAGATTCAGCCTCTCTGTACTGTTGCCCTCAATGAAGCCTCCAATCTTCTCCATGTGTGGATATCTGATAGCAGTGTAAATACTGCCTGTATTTTTTCCAGCTTTGTGCCTCTGCATGTGAAACTCCCTGAACTTTGACCAAGAGAACAGTTGTCACCTGTTAGTTCTCTTCTATTTGAACTGATTTAAGACAAGCCAGCTTTTAGACACAACTTTATTATTCCCTGGAGCAGGGTACATGAGACAACCCCAACAACTGTGTCTGAAGAAATAAATAAATTTTGTTCATGATCCTCCTCAGCATCCACATTAAAAGTTTAACTGGGAAAGATGATAATATATCAGTGTTCTGGAAACACAAAGGAATACCACCAAGGAAGAGGAGCTCTTTATGAACTTCAGGTTTTCTGCAAGAAGAAATAATGGAACTTTACAGCAACCTTTCACACTCCTAACACACTGCATCTCAGAGACTATACCAGGCACAGTCAGTCATAAACTGCTTCTAAAAACTGTTATAATAAACACAGAAGTTTGACCTTTGCTGAGAAATAAAACTTGGCCTATCCAATTTGACCAGCAATTCTGGAAACTGGGAAGTTCCATTCTTACATACAGGTGATAGTCACATCAAACCACCTCTCAAAATATTGCAGAGCTGTTACATTTATCTGCTGTCAATCATATAACTAATCTGTACCACCTCTGTTAAGTACCAATATATTTCTTTCTCTTTGAAGACTGCATTCAATGTGCTGTGATAGAGCTGGGATCACTGCAGTTACTTTCAGCCAAAATAGTCAAAAGCAGCAAAGGCAATATTCTCTTTAAGGCAAGATATTTTTCCCAGCTATCATGACAATGTGTGACGTGCTTATGTCACTGTTGCCACAAAATATTCTTCAAATTGTGCATATTTGCATCCAGAGTGGGGTGACTTCTGTTATATTTCTTTTTTTGGCACAGAATCTGATGATCTATTAAATAAATATTAATCCCTTGTTGCCTTCAAAGCTGTCTCTGCCATATTAGGATTTTAAATATCTTCATTAATTGCTTAACTACCTTTTCCTCTATTCCCCATGGGCTCCTTTGATACTAGTGGCTCTAATGTGTTACCATGTGATTCATGGCTTCACTCTGCTGTAACACAGAACATGTTTTTAGCCAATTTTGTGTTACAGACGCCTTTGACAAAATGAAAATTCAACATTTTCAGAGTCCAAAGATAAGCAGGCCTAGAGTCATTAGAGTACTACATTTTTAAAAGGATAGAAAGCATTTATGTCTCAGTTCATGTTTGTGGAAAATGTTTGTAATCAAAATCATTGGTAAATAAATCCTTCAATATTACTTTATCTAGACACATGCCCCAGAAGAACAGACATGAAATGTGAAAAAGTGTAACGCCAACCAGGAAAAAACAGCTGTACTTTGTGATAGTCCTAGAAAGATGACTTCTGAAATGTAACAGAAGAAACTTTCAGTAACACAATTTTGGC